TGAGCTAAAGAACTCTGGGCATAATAAAAAATGCAAGGGTTAATTGCAGCATTGACTGCTCAACCCTCTTAAGGTGCCCATACACTGCACGATTCTCGTACGAGAATCGCGGGAAATCCCGCGATCATACGAGAATCGTGCAGTGTGAATGAAGACCGTACAGTAGAAACGGTCGCACGTCTTTTGTCTAAGGAGCATGCTAGAAAACCTGCTGAAAATCTTACGATTTTCGGCTGGTTTGAATGATGCCCGGGAGACAAATGCCGAACGGGCCGGTGAGCGCACGCGCACACTGCCCATTCCGCATTGCGGTCATCGCAAGCCCGCCCCCCTGGGTGGCGGGCTTTGCAATGATCGCAAGTACGATCTGCCTGTCCAAGATGGGCAGATCGTACGTTTTTTTAATTACTTTACAACCATCGCAAGACTAAGGTCTTGCGATGGTTGTAAAGTGTATGGCCACCTTTACCCTATGCTCCAGCAGTGGAATGTCCATTGGTGTTCTCATGTCTAATTAACTGTATTAGAGGGGGCCATGCACTGTTCACATTTGACCAGTCTATGGTGAAGTTTACATGCTTGTTTTAAAAAGAATCTGTCATTACAACAGTAAAGACACTATACATTTTCTGGTAATTTCTGATGAAGAAATTATCATGTATCTATAAGTCTTTCTCAAGGTCTCTTGGCTAAACTTGCTGAGGGGAAGACTTGATTGGATGGGATGAACTTTCCTGTCAGATTGCCATTGTTTTCTTCCAAGAGAAATCAGGACTGTATTACCGTATTTTTCCGTCTATAAGACGGGGCGTATAGGACGCCCCCCACTTTTCTTACCCAAAATTCAGAAATCCATATTTTCCATGCTCTTTTGCATAACTGATTACATCCAGTTTACATTTTGCAGAGTAAGACAGCTGCTTACTGGTACCGGTATTTTTTTTGTTTTCTGACATTTTATGGGCTCCGAATGCTGTGACATTACCGCTCCCTGTTACATCTGGGCACTGGCTACAGGCTCTTCGCAGCATCAGCTGACGTCGGGTACATAAGGCTCTTGATTGGAGGAAACCCGTTAGCTTGTCTCTGCAATTGGAAGTTTCACTCGTGAGGCTAGTTTGCAGAGGTATCGGTAGTTTCGCAACTGTGGTTCTCCTCTCGGCCCCCCGTGTATAAGACGCCCCTCCATTTTTAGGTAAATATTTTTATAAAAAAGTATAGTCTTATACACGGAAAAATACAGTACTCAGCAGAAGCATGTCTGTGTACCTCTAGACACAGGGAGTACCAGGGATTGACAATCATTAGACAGATGTGGGAAAAGGAGAGAGAATGGTAGAGCACTCAAGGGAGAGTCTAGATAAGTGATCATTAGAAACAGATTCTTAACCAAAATAAGTGTTTAAAGTGTACAAAGGAACCAGGGTTAAAGAGGAACTCCAGGTATTGTAAAAATTACCTCTTGCAGCGGGGCTACCCTCACACTGCAAACGTTAACTGCTTGTTTTTCTCTAGGGGTCTGAATATAGAAGATATACATCACCTGATTCTTTGCCCTGCACCTCTTTCCCCCTCCACTCCAATGGGGGAATGTCCCTCGGCGTCCTGCACTTGCATTAGATATAATGAAGTCATCGGTCCTTAGAGCACCAGGGCCCGGGGGAGAAGAGGCTGTGGGGACCATCCTAGCAGACAGGTGGGATCAAGGATCAGATCAGTATATCTTCTTTATTTTAGCCAAAAATGATCAGTTGCAAAGAGGGGGTAGCCAGGGCCGGTGCTGCCACTAGGCAAACTAGGCCTAGGGCGCACTGCTGCCTAGGGTGCAGCCTCGACCATTCAACCCATGGTGCCCCCCATCTATTTCAAATGGCAAAACCCAATGGCAGGCTGGCTATTGCACCCACACAATGAGCAGAGGAGCAGAACTGAGAGACAACTTTTTCTCTCAGGTCTGCTCCTCTGCTCAGTGGGTGGGGTTTTAATAGCCAGTCTGCTATTGGCTATTTCAAATTAAAATAGCCAATAGCAGTCTGGCTATTGCTACCAGCTGCTTACATTTACCAGGCACCTGCGGAAGCTAGCTGGCAGGAAAATGGAGCCGCGCGGGAAGGAAGGATTGGGGGTTGCGCCGCGGGAGGGAGGCTGGGGGGTGCAAGTAGCTGGTCTTGCCTAGGGCCCTTGGTGTAGCACCGGCCCTGGGTGTAGCCCCACTGTAAAGAAAAATAAAGCACATTCTTTTTTTTTAATTCAGGTAAATGCCAGAATTTGTTTTCAAATGTAACAATGTCCTTACAGGTGTAAATTACAAAACTGGCAACACAGTATTTCATTGAATGGGATGTGATCATCAGAACTAGCTGTATCAATGTGCTGTTCAACTTATAGAAAATGTTGCTACAACTGTACACAGTACACAGAATTTTTAAACAACTTAACATTTTAACATTTTGTGTATTTATTTACATAAATATGAATTTTATGTAACAAGACATACATTAATACAGATAACCTATCAACCTTCACAATTCTTATGCCAGAAATACTTCAAAATGACATGCCTTTCTAAATGAAATAATCAATACTCAGTAAAAGTACCATGGGCTAAGGAATGATCTGTGTGGTTATAAGGAAAGCATTGGCATGAAGGAATCAAAGCATGTAATAGTCACACTTAGGACTGAATCTGGCACCCTGTTCCAACAATAAACCATAGTGTATACAGTCATTTTTTATAGATTATTTATCTATACTGATGCAAATATTTATTGTATTTGCACCAGTAAATTCTGCAACAGTTTTCAAACTAGAGATCACCATTGGCAGTAGTCCCTACTCTGAAAAGGTACATAAAGCCATCCAGATATATAGCTATAGAACCATTTTGATCAAACCTATGGCCTAAAGCAGCATGTTTTTATTACAGTACTGCTCATCCTACAATATTTTAGGAAATTGTATACTGTTTGCTTTTTAAAGCCTTGACCTAGGAGCACTTCCATTTATTATGTATGTATAATGTACTATATATGTACTGTGTATACTGTATATATACTGGAGAGAGAGTGAGAGAGAGAGAGAGAGAGAGAGAGAGAGAGAGAGAGAGAGAGAGAGATGTAAGTATATGTGTATATGTGATGATTGCTTCCTGGAGTCATGCAGATATATGTAGGCAATGGAATAATTTTGAATGGAACCCTATGGCCTATAGCAACATATTTTTATTACAATACTGCTTGCCCTACAATATTTTACAAAATTTTATACTGTATACATTGCAATATTAAAGCCTCGAAGTAGCAGCACTTCCATTTATTATGTATGTCTAATATAGAATATAGAGAGAGAAAGCGAGAGAGAGAGAGAGAGAGAGAGAGAGAGAGAGAGAGAGAGAGAGAGAGAGAGAAGTAAAAGTGTATATGTGATTATTACAGCTTGGATAACCTATAATTGTTTATATGTGTTATACATTAAACAATAAAAATAGCTATAGACCTACTGTACAACGATTCCCATAGCTATAAAGTCATGCAGATATATACAGGCAATATAATCATTTTGAATGGAACCCTGTGGCCTATAGCAACATATTTATTTTCAATACTGCTTGCCATACAATATTTTAGAAAAGTTGTTTATACTGTATACATTGCAATACTAAAGCCTCGAAGTAGCAGCACTTCCATTTGTTATGCATGTATAATGTTCAATATATAAATCGAGAGAAAGCACGAGAGATGTAAGTATAAGTGTATTTGTGATGATTGCAGCTTGGATAACCTATAATTGTTAATGTTATACAATGTAATAACGACATAGACCTACTGTACACTGACTCCCATATAGATATAAAGTCATGCAGATAGAACCATTTTGAATGGAACCCTATGGCCGCCCCATAGCAACATATTGTTATTTCAATACGGCTTGTACTACAATATTTTAGGAAAGTTTATACTGTATGCATTGCAATATTAAAGCCTTGAGGTTGCAGCAGAGAGAGAGAGAGAGATGTATATGTGATCATTGCAGCAGCATGCATAACCTGTAATTGTTTAGATGTGTCATACATAATACAATGAAATGTACAGACCTACTGTACACTGATTCCCATATAGATATGCAGACATGCAGATATATACAGGCAATAGAACCATTTTGAATGGAACCCTATGGCCTATAGCAACACATTTTTATTTCAATACTGCTTGCATTACAATATTTTAGGAAAGTTTATACTGTATGCATTGCAATATTAAAGCCTCGAAGTAGCAGCACTTCCATTTGTTATAGAATATATATATAGAAAGTGTTATCGGTGTATATGTGATGATTGCAGCCTGGATAACCTGCAATTGTTTAGATGTGGCATACATAATACAATGAAATACCTGTACAGACCTACTGTACACGGATTCCCATGCGATATAATCCTTATTTGCTCATGTTTTCTTGTAGATTCATGATAACTTCTTCATAGTATAATAGATGCCATTCATTTTTCTTGCCCTTACCGTTTGTTCTCTAATGTTCAGCAAACTTTGGCACGGCTATCATTTTATTATTCAGCTAAGATGAGTAATGTGCTAGCAGAGAAAATGGGCCAGGGGAAGGGTTAATATTCAGGAATAATTGTCATTATCCAGCGGACTCTCACAGGCTTCCGATCCTATCTCATTATATGAATAGATGCATATGCTCCCTGGTTCATTTTTTCCATTATTTTCAAGCTTTGCGCGCCTGGGTTATTAGATCAGCTTGAATGCTCTGCAAGATACCAGGGATCTTTTTTTTTTTTTCATTCGAGAATTTGTCCTCTTGCCGTGACTTTGACACTTAGGAGCGAAGGGCGTGTGTGGCCCTGACCTGGCACATTCCTGAGGATCTGCCCAGGTCCTGCACCCAGCTTGTGCTGTATAAGAATGCCGCCGGAACCTGGGCTATGCGATCACCACACAGCCGACTCAGCACCATAGACAGCTCCCAGTCCTTAGCCAGCCATGAGCGCCAGTCCGGAAAGGATCTCTTCTTACCGAAGACACTTCGATGAGTTCGCTGGGAGTTCGGTGATCAGGCTGAGGGTGAGCAGCCCATCTCCACCCAGACACAGGAGATCAACCAGCTATAGCAGAGAAACCTGTGAAGTACACACCGGTGGAAGGAGGACCGCCTCTGCTAGCCGCCGACCGCGCAGGTAAGTGCGCTTTCTGCTCTATGGGGTCTCTAATCCATCAAACTACTCCTTTTCAATCATTTCTATTCTTCTACTACTAACATGATGATTTGTACTTTTTCCCTTTTACTATATATATATATATATACTCTCTCTCTCATTCTGCATGTCTTTTTTTTTTACATATGTGTCAATTTTAAAAATTCTTCACATATTTTAAATTGCATCAATTCCCTTGTTTTTTTTAAGAGCCACAAATCATGATATCATTTCTCATTCTGTTGGATTTTCTAAACACTTAGCAAATCATTTAAAGGGGAATTTTGAATCATTTAAGAGGTTGATTGATATTAAAATTACCGTAAAAGGGGTTAAACTTACTGTAAATGAGTCATTGAGTAAATTGAGTAAATGAAATAAATTGAAATGAATAATCAAATGACTATTGAAATAATAATGTAATTATGAAAACTGTCAGTCAATTTCTGCTTTAGATGAAGATAGAAAAATAGTTGTATAATTAGCTGCAAAAAAAGGTAAGGGGATCAAACATAGAACATTTGTTAATCCTTTTTTTGGGAAAGCTTTGTAAAAAAAATCCATAAGAATGACTTTTTTGAGATAACTCATTACTTCTTAAAGCTGGTAGATAAAATTAGTGTAGACTAGCCATATAAATATTTTGTTCATAAGACTAGCCATGTAAAAATGTTGTTAATTAGTAAATAGTAATAAATGCTTAAAAGTCTACAATGACCTGTAAATCTATTTTTATATCAAAGCAAATTAACAATTATTTTTTTCTATTCCAAATCACTAATTCATGTGAAATATTTTTGAAATAATCAAAATGAGTACAAATAAAGAGGTTGCATGTTTATAAGGGGCAAATGCTAATAATTCAATTATTATTCATTCTGCCTTAAAAAAGTAGTGATCCAAAAATAGTGTGCTACAGTGTTTTTATAGTCGAAATGGAATTGCCCGTACAGACATTTTTTGAGTCAAGCATTAAAACAAAATTAAAGGATCTCACTTTTGGCACTATTTTATGTATCATTATTTATTGACTGTAGATGAACATTTTCATTTTAAATCTTCACTGTAATTTTACAATTTTCAAAGTGAAAATAATGTAACCTACACCAGTGTATTTGTAATAGATTGAACATTATTATGTTTTATTTTCAATTGGGACTTTTTTTAAACTAAAAAAATAAAAACATCTATTACAATTACTGGTAGAAAACTGCCTAATGCCAGGTTTTTAAACTTAGACAAAAATTTGACATATTGAATACCGTTATCATGATTTGATGAAATTAATGTTGAAGTTGTATCATTTTGCCCCAGTTAACATGTTTAAAACTAAAAAACAAAGAGCAAAATTAACACAGAAATGCTTTAATGTGAGCAAAGAGGAATTCCCAAAACTATGTTTATATTGCAGTGCAAATGTGCTGCTGATGCTTTATAAACAGACCTCATAATTATAGCACACGCATTATGTGATTTATGTGAAAAGTGTATAAAGGAAACTGTTTTCAAAACCAAGATAAACACTGTAGTGAAAACTATTGCCAGCAATTCTGGAAACTTGATTTCTGCTACTAACTTTACTAAAATATATTGCAATTTTATTGCTGCTGAATTATTGTGTGAAGTAGATGATTTTAGGTAATTCACTTAAACCCCAAATATTTGTGCACTTGTTATGTATATGGAAATCAACACACACACAGCACAGATGTATTTACAGAATGCTGGAGATGATTTGCATATGCATTCTTGCCCATTGGCAGAGTTTATAACCTATTTATTTTTTATACTAGACATACGAGTTAAAAGTGTAACAGGATTATAAATGTCAGTCTCACATCTTTATAGTAACCAAATGTATCAAAAATGTACCATTGCATTTGCTAATCTATAGTGAAAAAGAAAGGGCTTTCTTAGCAATGTTACAGAGCTATCAGGAAACTCAATTTAGCAGTTAAAATGATTTTTCCAGTTGCACTGAACATTGTTGGCAAGGTAATCTGGAGATTTTATGTCCTGGGAGATATTTGGTCCATGCTATTAGAAAAAAAAAAAAAACCCACTATACAGGCGATCAGACTTTTGTACTTTTAATATTAATGTCAATAATGGCCACTTTGCGTCTATCTTTATTTTGTTGAGCATTTGGGGTTAGTCACAAAAGGGTGAAGAGTTTGGAGAAGGCAGGAGAAGTGAACAATCTAGGACAACATAGCTGATTTGGAAAAAATCTCCAATTCATCTAACTTTCAAGTTCTTGTCCTAGATTGTTCACTTCTCCTGTCTTCTCCAAACTCTTCACCCTTTTGTGAATAACACTGTAGGAGTGTAATTATCTCAAAGCAGAATAATGCTAGCAATGTCACTATAGTAATCTACAATGTTCTGATAGTTGTATACCAACAATCAGAGTGTTAGATTCTGTCATTTCTGTAGACTGCATGCCGGCCCATTATTCTTTATCAAAAATGCTTGTGCTCAACTAGTTGTCAGTGGGTGATTATCTCTATGGGCAGAGAGTTTTTTGTATTGGTGGGGTCGTCACACTTTACAGATCTCTGTTGGATGGAAATAAATAAATTAAGGACATATGTACTTCTCTGCCTTTTTTTATATAAAGTAACTTTAACAAACCAAATACTACAAATAGTCTTATAGTGAGACACGTGTATACATTCTTCATTATGTATATGGATGTGTAATGTGTTGTCATTTTAATAAATAGTTCCTATAAAATAGCATTTGTGATTCAGTTAATTGTATACATAGTTTTGGTAATGGTTGTACAAAGATTGTGTAATAATATTATGTGTATGGCCAGCTTAAAAGCATTTGCATAATGTGTTTAGTGACCTGTTCGAATTGTCCATGCTATCTTTTCTCTAGTATGGTTTCATCTAGTTTTGGAGTTTTTCTGGGTCCTGTGGTGGACTTGGAAGCAGCCAGTGCAGCGAACCAAGAATTTCTGACTACCAGGAACAGTGAGAAGCGTGAGATGATTATTCTGAATGACCGCCTGACTAAATACATAGAAAGGGTAAAGAACTTGAATCTCCTTTTTTTTTTTCTTTTATTAATCCAAAAAGACCAGTCTTGCTGTAATGCAATATACAATGTCACCCACTACATATTTTAAACCCTGTGAATCTAACAGAATGGGGTGCTGTATTCAAGTACTTATATATCTACGCAAGCATGGCCAGGTTATTTCTATTTATCAGTGAATTTATAATGAGCTAACTTCTCAATGAAAAGAGGCAAGTTTCAGGGCTACAACACAGAGCATTTTCCAACGTGCTGGACATATGTGCTATGAGCAATTCTGATTTTCAAAGTGTACATTACTGCTCCCTAGCATAGATCTTAATGACAGTTACATGATCCAGTTTTTTTCTAGATACTATTATATATATATCGGTGGCCTAAGGCTGCTGGCTGCCTGCTGATGGGGGGGGGGTTGGAGGGGCAATCAATAGGGCAGGGTTTGAAAACCTGTCTTGATTACTATTGTTTCTTCTTGGCACCTGTGCCCAAGTCCCTGCTCCCATCCCTCCTCTCTACATTGAAAGTACTTGTAAGCTTGGCCAAACTGAGCTTACAGTTGATAGATAGGTCTACAGTGCTCTTCAATGCTTGCAGTTCAATTGTTCCTATAGGGCTGACCACTAAAGTCAATGGGCAATTTACAATAAAAATGACATGTAACTTTATTTACAAGATGTTATATCAGCTATCACAATGGGTCTGATAACATTAATCAGTACACTAGGTTTATTCATATAAGGTCACCATTTTACAAAACAACATTTCTGAAATGAGAAAAGCTACAAAAAGAAAAGCTAACTAATAAGGGACAATGTTTTTTGATGACAATATATATTGGCTTATGTGCTTGTATATCCTATAGGTCAGGGACTTGGAACAACAGAATGCCACCGCACAGGTTGAGCTTGATGCGCTCCGCAGTCGCAGCAACGTACCATCCTCTCTTCGAACTCTGTATGAGGAGCAATTGCGGGACCTCCAAAGGGAGGCAGAACAGGCCCGGAATCACAGGGTAACGTATATAACTGGGCCAGTCCCTGGGGATATATTTGGTGTATACAAATTTATCTATATGTTCTGTCTGTTATTCTTTCTGTCTGCCTATCTCCAAATACCATCTATAGTGGCCCCCCTGCTGTTGTAGCCCTATCAGGCAAGGCTGCTCACTGTTTACAGATGTATGTATACATGCTGTATATTATATTTTGTGTGTAAATACAATAAATATGTGCAAGATAGATAGATAGATAGATAGTATTTTCTATTTTCTTCCTACATGTTTTTTCTGTGATAAAAATAGCTGGGCTGGGAAATGAGCTCTCTGGTGCCGAATATGACACAAACACATTGGCCTTTTAACCTTCAATCTGTTGAGTATTAGGATGTCTATAAATCTTTACTTGCTGAAAGACCATGCACGGAAAGTTATAGGCATTGTTGTACCACATGTCACTTCTCCTCAGCTGTCTTTAACACCAGATCATAATGCAAATGTAAACCTGAGTGTGAAATGCTTTGTTTGTGGAGGAGGTTGTGTTGAAACTAGCTCTCCTATTTGAGGTACTCGGGACGCCTGTGCAGACTTCTGTTAGGGCACAAGCTGTTCAGGCAGTATTTTACAAGCTCATGCATTGAGCACACTGGGAGATTTGAAATAATGGCATTATAATGGGTCTCTAGCTACTATTACATTGAAAATCATTGGCTTTTATGGCCAGTTCCCCCATTATAATCCATCACTCATTGCCTGGTCCAAAGGAATAACAACCAGTGGGTATTGAAAACAATAGTAGAAGGCCCCACATGGGGTCATTTGATTATAGGCACAAGGGAGCATGTCTGACAGAAGTTAGTATTGGTGTCTTCTTACTGTACTGGGCATAGATGTGTTGAAACCCCAGACAGCTCTCCTCTGGCACTGATTGGATTAGAAGGGGGACGCTGTAGGTTAGCCAGGCATAAGAAGATTCTGCTTTATTTAACAGGATGTAGCAGTGGCTGCCAAGTCATCAGTGTCTGAGGAACTCAGCGCCGTAAAGAAACGCTATGAAGATGCAGTCGAGGCAAGGAAAAAAGCTGAAGGCGACATTGAAGCATTCCGCCCTGTAAGGAGCTGTCTTTATCATCCTCACTCACCTTGTATGCAGCATCCCAGGCATTGTCTTTAGCATATACATATCACCCTGATTTTTATTATGAAAATTGGTTTGAATCCTGTCTTAACCCTTTCAGTAAAAGTCAGGGATTGCGCAGACATGACCCCCTGGCAGAAAAAAAAAATGTTGTTGTTTTTCATAAACAGGGGCATATTTGTAAGGAGGTCTAGAACCAAGCTCTATAATATAAAAAGACACATAATAAGGCTAATTTATAAAGTGATCATTTCTACTAGTGGGAAAAATGAAAAGATTGTGACACCCAAACCAATGTTTCAGTTATGAGTGGATGTTTCATCCCTGCACATCTTTCTTGCTTTTGCAGATTGCAGGGGGGCATTTTTAGACACAGCTTCCATCTGTGCTGCACACTATCCAGTCTCACGTTTCTAGGCGGAATTTTACTTCTTCTGGTGCATGCTTTATAATGTAAAACACATGAAAGGAAGAATGAGGCTTCCTTACATTGTCCATTGCAGACAGACAAGGGTAAACAATGAAACACAAAGTCATAAGACATGCTTGTGCGCTTCAGCAAGTCATTGTCTACCCAAAAGTAAAATTTCAGTTTGGGATGAACCCTGGGGCTTTAAATGGCACAAATAGTTTCTATGTGCAATCATTTAGTTATTGTATTTATATGTTTTAAAATGCCTCCCACACACATATTATTCTGTATGTAGAATTTAGGCATAAGGGCCTATGTCAACCTGCAGACAAAAAAATAATCTGATGGTCTAATTAGCACCTCCTTGCTCTTTTCGTTCATGGCAAGCTGCCGATGGCGGCATATTTTCAGAGCAGCATTCTATGTAAAGCATACACTCCCCTCTTTTGCAAACTCATTGCTGATTGTGGAAATATAGAGCCTTGGGCACTTCGATCTGCCAGACATGATTCCCTAGACTTTGTAAATCATTGTAAAATCACTTCGGAGAGGGCTAATATCTAACAGGCATATAGCAAACAGAAGTGACTGTTTATGAACATGAAATATGTGATAAACCCATGCAACCAGGGTGTTTCCTGAACAATAAACTCAGCCTCCCTGTAAATAGTTCACATGCTTCGTAATCCACTAGGCTAGCAGACACAATAGTTGTAAGTCATAGAGGTTGATACACTAAATGAGAACCTTTACTTAGCTTTGTGACTAAAGTAAAGCTAAACTTGCTTGAGTCATCCAATCATATGCAAGGCAAAAGCCATTTTTTTCCATTCAATTTCCCTGCACATGATTGGTCATTTAAAATTAACATAACTGTACTCACAGAGCTTATTGATCGTTCACTGAACTTCTTCTAATTCTTTGTAAATTAACCCCTTAGCGACACTGTCCATTGGGTTGATTTACTAAAAGCAAATAGGCTGTTCACTTTGCAAGGGAATTTTCTCCTAGCAGGGGAATTTTCACCGTACCTTAGTGAATAGAGCTGAAAATTAATTACTAATCACATGCATTGAAAGTTTAAAAAACCCAGTATATTTGCTTGCACATGATTGGATGATGGAAGTCAGCAGAGCTTTACGCTATTCACTAAGCCAAGGCAAAAGAAAAGGTACAACCTATTTGTCCTAAAGTGTTATTAAATCCTAAAGTGAAAAAACGATAAAGTGTTGTAGACCATTGCAGTTACCTTGTTTGCTGTGTGATTTTTCTTTCAGGCTTGTGGTTGCTCGGTGTTCATTCTATTAAAATGCTGTCTTTCCAAGTTATTTTGTTCAGGTGGCTCCATTCCCTTACAGGGTTCCATGAAGGCACCCTGGCATGTGTACATTAACACAGCTTTCCTGAAAGCCTAACATGACAAGTCACTCCCCTGCTCCCCACATCTCTCAGTGTGCACATGCCACCCTCCAGCTCCCTCTTGTCTCTCCTCAGTGCTTACACAGCACTCTCCAGCTCCCTCTCCTCTCATCAGGGCACATGTTCCACCGTCCAGCTCCCTCTCCTCTTTCCTCAGTGAGCAGGCACCACTTTCCAGCTCCCTCTCCTCAGTACGCATGTGCCACCTTCCAGCTCGGCTTCCCTCAACTTCCTATCCAGTACAAGATCACAAGAGTCGTCTCCAGCAGTTGTCCATCTACTAGTTTGGAGAAGGGAGGAAGAGGGTGCAGGGGAATGCCTTGCCTTGCTGTGCCTGTGGAGACACACAGCTTTCTAGCACACACAAGGGTGACTCCATAGAACCCTGCAGGGAAAGGAGCCACCCAAAAACATATTAGGGCTAGTGGTCAGGGGACCAACTGATTATGCAGCAAACTAAAACGTTTAAACATAAAGAAGCAGCATCCCTTGGAAAACTCTTTGACAAATAGTAAATCTGAGCTTGTTCTGTTTGGCTGGTTAGTAACTAACCTAAACATCAAATGGTAGAATAGAATTGTTGAAAAATATTTACAGTAATGATGATTATTTTTGATCATGAGATTTTTCTGTCACTATTGGTGACATTCTTGGAGTTAGAAATGATAAACTCAGCTCCATCTGTGTCTGCCATTTTGCCCATATGTAATCTAAAGTACTACAGAATTAATATTAGAACAGACTTTAAACTGAACATAGGTCCCATGCTCTGGATACAAATTCATTACAGCAGTTATTTAAAAAAGTATTTTTTATAAACAACAATGCAGAACAATGCAGACAAGCAGACATAACTTTTATGTTAAATGTCTGCATAGTACAGGTTTTGAGAAATTCATCGGCTTCAGAAAAATACCCAACAATAATTTCTGTTAAAATGAAACTAAAAGTCAAAACAAAACATTGCCTAGTTACAGCTGGCAGCGCTGGGGATTTCCTCCAGGCCTAACTGCAGATTAATTAAGGTTACCTGCAATATAATTTATAAATACATCAGTGCTTTTTAATAATATCTATATTTCAAAGTGGAATTCAATTATGCTGTACCGCATAAGCTGAAAAGTAGATATTGAATATTGCGTATTTCCTTTGATAAAAACAAAACTGAGAAAATCAGTAGCAAGAAAAATATTCATAGTTACCTGCAATATGTTAAGTTTAGAATAAATTATGATGACCCACAATTGCCAGTTGCAGCCTCTTCTTTAATGGCATGCTTCAGTTTTCAGTTACACAGCTACAGTATTTTTTAAATTGTCTTAAAATATTTTTTTTAAACTGCTGAATGCAGAAAATAAATTGCAGTGATCTGATGATATTTTATATTGCCAAATAAATGGCTGTGGTCTGGTGATTTGTGCATTACATTCCTAAATAGCTGCCCATAATATAATGATTTGAGTATATCAGTACTAAATTAATGGTAATCGTTTGGTGAATTGTGTTGGCTGATGAATCTGTTGCATTATAATAGCTGTGATTGGAGATTTGTGTAGGCTAGGTTATCTTTTATATTACTAATACTTTAAACCACACATAGCTCTATATATGATAAGCAGCATGAAAATTAACAGATCAATGGGTTGTTTGCTCTGTAGGATGTAGATTCTGCCACCGCAGGACGAATTGCACTGGAAAAGCAGTTGGCAAGTTTGGAAGCAGAGATAGCCTTCTTGCAGAGGGTCCATGGAGAGGTATTGTATATAATATTCTTCTGGTGTGTGTGCGTTATTTTGGCCTCTGCTCACTCTTTTCTATCTGTCAATCCAGGAAATTGAAGAATTGATGAAGCAAATCTACAATATGACCGCCTCTTGTGATCTGGCATTCTCCATCCCAGACTTTGCTGCTGCTCTGAGGGACATTCAGACAGAATATGAAGAAATTGCAGCCAAGAACCTGCAGGTTAAAATTAGAGTTCATCCTGTTCAGGGGAAAAATATCTAACGTGATGTCAGTTGCTACTTAACAAATATTTCTAGCCAAATAAAAGATTGTTCGTCTTGTATATATTAAATCAGAATGTAGCCATTGGACATCTCTGACAATTCTCATAGACTGATGCACAAAACTAACTCCTAGCTAGGCTCATTAACCCCTGCTCTGCCAGGGAAAATGTCTGCAGAGTGGAAAGTGCAAGGCTGCAGGGTGTCCTGATTCTGTAGAATCGCTTTGCTGCAAGGTGGTTAATTAAAGAGTTTGGTGTTCATGAGACCTTAATGAACCCTTCTTTTGGGAGACCTGACATTACATGTCTTCATCCCCCTTGTTCATATCTTCTTCTGCCTTTCCCCCCAGGAGATGGACGAGTGGTACAAAAGCAAATTTGTTGACTTCAATCAAGCTTCTACAAAGCATGCGGAAAACGCGAGACATTACAGAGGAGACATGGCAAACTGCAAGAGAAGCGTAAGTGGAGCTAGAAAGGCCTTGGAGCTCATATGTCACTTCATGTGGAGCCTGTATCGTGATTTCACTAACATAGGGAATGTGACCGTTCTCTCTGCTGCTATCTGGGTTGTGTGTGAGGGAGCTTGGGATTTTTGACTGTTTGTGTTGAGGTATAAGGCCCAGTAATAGCAGGAAGACCATTAAGTATAGGGCTTATGCAGATTTTAACAAGATATCTCATGTTTATATAATTAGCATTGCAAGATTTTCAATGCAATACAATTCAAAATTCGGGTGTATGAGCTGAACTACTTTCCTTCATATTGAGTTGCAGACTACCTACACAATATACTGTATGTGACCATTATATATCAGCAACTGTATTTCTAAAAGGATTCAATAATTGATAGGTAGGACTAGAAGTGAATATTTAATAGGATACATAATGTGTAGTTACCTATACAAACCATACAGGTTGCAGCTTCTATCAGTTTAGAGTCAGAACAGTGAAAGATTATTTTTTACTTTTATGCTGGTCTCTGCATTATTAAAAACAGGCCAGTAGACCATACATAATGATGTGAAAACATGAGATATGCAAATTAATTATGAATAAATATATATATAAATTGCATGCAGGGATGAGTGAACTGAACAAAGTTTGGTTCGCTGGGCATTTGCTGGACCCAGTGGGAAATCTGTGAACCCCAAACATAGCATTTGAATGCCATTAAAGTCCATGAATGATGGGTCTTTTTTTTAAATAAAAATTTGCAAGCTTTTGCTAAATAAATGGCATGGGTATCTGGGCAGTGACATTTTCTAAGAAATACCATTTGGAGTAGGGAAGGATTAAAACCCCCTGTCAGTTTATTTTTTGGTATCTGTGTCTACTTGGGGAGATTTTCCTTCACATCTTGTACCAGAGATGCAACGTGAAGTAAGAGGAAATCTCTACAAAGTGTGGGCAATTCCTCTCTTAGACATCGGCCACCAAAACAGTTGTGCCCATTGGAAGATTTCCCCTCATTTCTTTTTCTGGTGGCAACTCTAAAATTTTGCATCTCCCATCACTTTCTCTCTTGAGGACAATGCTCATCATAACAAAAAGAGAGGACACAAACAACAAAAAAAACTTAGTAGATGTTCTAATCCATCTCAACTCTATCCAGATCTACAAAGAAAACAACATTTTGACTGTACCTAGACTTCACCACCCCGCAGACACCAATACACGTTTATTGATTTTTCATATACTAAATCTGAATCAGTTAAGTCTACACCATAGCTTGTTTACTTGCTTATTATTCCTTCTTTTGAACACTCAGCTATCAGTTAAAAGCTAGTGGAAAAGTTAAGAATAGAGTAGTTTGCTGTGGAAAAGTAGGTGTAGCTTTGCAGGTTTGTACTTTTACAATAGCAAACCATTAGTATTGTTTAAAAGATTGGCTAAAGATAGTTGAAGTGATCCACTGCAAGCAACACAGTCCCTAAATCTTCAGAATTTATCATTAACAAGCAGGAAAATGTAAAGTTGTTGTCCAATGTCTGAGAGAATGAAACCCTGTAACTGAAGCAACTATCTCAGTGGATCCAAAATTGAAAAATGGGAGTGATTTTTAAAATGTCATACTCAAGTGATTCTAAAAAAGCCATAGGAAAATGAAATTCCAAAACATTTTTACTTTTGCAATTCATTGTTTAGGACATAACACATAACCACTTTTTAAGTCCTGAAAAAAGGAAAACAGGTTCATTTAATTTCTTTTATAAATAAGAGAAGGTTTTTATTTATATGTTTCAAAGTGCAAAGTGCTACAAAATATGCCAGACACTAAGAATAGAACCTTGTAATTATAATATTTGAATGGGGTGATGTATGCTTCCCTATGTAGTTAATGTGATACAGGTGGTGTAGTTTAGCTGTGAATAATGTGATAATGAAAGCATAAAAACTGTTTACAGTACAGGATAAAAGGCAAATAAAAAAATTGATACAAAACAAGGACCACATTTATTTCAATAAAAGTACAGGCCCTAAAACCCATTAAAAAGTCTCATCTTAGGAAAAAAAATAGGTAGCCATGCTACTATTTCATGGCAGAGCAACATAGTTGCTTTAAAAGCAAGTTACTTATAGGGCACTTACCCTTAGTTGGTACAATCCCCTTCCCTAGCATCTCTGGCAAGGCCTATACATACCTGTCCTCGCTCCACCAAGATCTTTCTTGCATCCTTTGTTAAGACATATATCTTTTCCTTCCAATTCATCCCAGTTGGGGCTCAGTTGTCCCATGACTTCCATTCATGTGTACACCACCTTTTAGTTCCTGGAATGACTATAAACTATCCTCTAGTATCAATGATCACATCTGATTAACGATGTACATACATTTTTGCAGCTTTGACAGCCATTTGGACTGATATATGCCAAACTGATTTTAAAACAAACTATTTAGAATATGTGAGTGATTTGTAGATATTTTGCATAAAGCATAACCAATTCTGATGAGTAGTGCACAAAGCTAAGTCCCTTGCATCATCAACATCTAATTGTATTGACCTAATTGTAGTTATCATGTGTTAACTGAAAGTTTTGTGATGTTTGATAAATTTGATAATAGCCATAGCTGACTAAATTTAATAATGTCTGTGTTGCCCGAAATCTCACAGTATTACTATTATTCCAACATAATGCAGCAAAGGAATACAAGTAGAATATGATTTGCTATGGACAATACCAACAGTTCTTTTTTTCTGAAGCTTTTATAAATAAATATCTACAGGCAGTAAATGATTTACAGATCTGCTGGTACTATCCGACAAGCTAAATGATCTTTCCACAAAAATATACGTTTAAAAATTCATATTTGGACCTATGGAGAACGGGCTTGGAGCACTCAGCAGACATCTCTGACTTGCCCCTTAAGTAGGAAAACAATAATGAAATTCCAACCTGGCTGATTAATGCTCCATGAGGTTTCCATGAGGTGCAATTTTATTTCTGCAAGGTCTATACAATAAACACAGTTTTATGAATCCCTTACTATATTAAAATAATTTCACTGTTACTAAATTTACTTAAGGAGTAGAGACTTTTTAGTTAGGAAATGTAAAAGAGAACTATGGGGTAAGTGATTTTCCCCATAGCTCTCTTAAGGGCCAAAACTCAGTATATCGCGAGCAACAGGATGCGGTATACTTAGACCGCCGCAGCAGGGATGGATCCCAACATTACTGTCGAGATCCACCCAGCTGCATGAGTGACAGAGGGCTCTACCTATCTAGAGGCAGAGCCAGCTGTACCCGCCCCCTCCCCCATCCGTTCCTCCAGTCAGCGCTGGAGGTCAGAGAGGGGAAGGGGGAATCCCTGCAGGGAGCAGTGACTGGCAGTCACGTCTCTCTGCAGGGAAATGATTGAGAAGTGAACGAGCAACGGTATGTGTTCGCTCACTTTCCGATCTATTGAGCCGACATGTGACAGTTTCATTGTCACACATCGGCTCGAACTATGAGGATGAGTGATTGTTACTCACCTCATGGTTATCCTTTAATGTTTACTGAGCCTAAATTAATGAAGCTGTGTCCATTTCAACCAACCAGTCATATGCTAACAATAATCCTATTTTTTTAAAATCTCCTTATACATGATCGGACATTCAAAATAAACACAGATCTACATTATTTACTAACGTTCACTTTTTTAAATGAAACATACATTTTACAAAGTGACCAGTCAACACCATTCTGCCTGTTTATTAAATTGTAATTACCCATAATAAAACAGTTATTCAATATCTTATAGATTAAAGGCAAAGAATCAGAACTTCTATCACTGAAGAACAAGAATGCAGCATTAGAGGCCCAATTGAAAGAAAATCAGGAAAAGAACAGGTTGGAGATAGAGGAGCTACAGGTAGGTGGATGGTCTTTGAAACTGCTTCCTGGTATTCTGGTGGCTTATTTTCTCACCATGACCCAGCACACACCCAACTTTTCACATCCTGCTTTCAGGAACGAATCAGAAAATTAGAAGAAGACCTGAAATCATTGAAGGAGAAAATTGCTTTACACTTACGGGAATATCAAGATCTGTTGAGTGTTAAAATGGCTTTGGATATTGAGATTGCCACATACAGGTCAGAGTCAACAGCTTGTACTTTATTCAATTTCCTATTCATCATACTAGAGATATAGTTAAGCTGATGCAAAAAGGAATTGTACGTCATGCAAATGTATTTTAATAAATGTTATTATTATATTATTAACAACAGCTACTGTCACACAAATGGTTCATAACAAATGAACTAATATTATAAATATGAAAACTGTGGACATAAAAGTGCCTTCTGTGACAATCACTATAATAATGCTCCTGCATCTAGCAGCTGGTTTTATGTTACTTACATTCATGATAAAGGGTCTGCCCACACTGATGTCATAGAACTGAATGTCATTAGAAGGGTTTGGATGAACCAGTAAACTAGAAGTTGCTCTGGCACCTAAAGGATTACCAAACGTTATATTTTAGAATCCTGCCGCTAGTAATCAAATTATTTTCCTCTTTATTTTTACTTTCACCTATGAAATCATAGAGCATTTGCTCTCAAAGAACAAATCTGCATACTAAAACTGGGTTCTATAAATATGTATTTTCTTTGTCTCAGGCAACTTATTGAGGGTGAGGACACCAGACTTGCCACATCAGTGAGTGGAGTCTTTCTCCAGGGTAAGGTATCAGGAGGTTTGCAGATAAGTTCCACGGAGAGTGTATCCCAGACATTGGAGAAGAAAGAGAAGACGACTGTCTAATAAAGTAAGTGGGTGTATTAGGAAGTGTTTGTGGCATTTTACACTTGGTACTAGTTTAATGTGTTCTAACTTTTGCTTTATGTCAGTTAATAGTTAAAATAGAGCAAGGAGAAAGCAAGAGGACGTGATTGTGAGGAGAAGGAAAATACACATGATCTGTTCTGCAAGACCTATCTCTAGGTGGCTGGAAGCATGATTCTGCCCTCTTTGATCTTACTGATGTATCTGCTAATGTGCTATGGAGCTTGCATTTTAACCGTATTATATGTAATCCTATACAGATTTGTATGGTTTTGCTAAATAAACACATGAGCATTCATTATGGCAAACTGTTTCTTAAAGAAAATACTGATCAGATTTATCTTTAGCATTCATGCTTTGAAAGATTCAAAAAATATACATGCATATGTGCTAAGTAATGTTCTAGGTATACATTACCTGCAACACAGGGAAACAAAGTCTCTTCTCCGAGGTCGTCATTTGCTGACTTTGGAAGTCACTGCAGATTACAAACAATTATTTCATAGATAAAAGTAAGCAGAATCAGACAAGGAAACATACTTAACACAGGTAATGATAGCAAACTTTAGAAAATGTTGCTTTACCCTTTATTTGTAGTTACGCTAACTGGGAAAAACTGTCAGTATTCGAATATAGAAGGTACAAGATACAAAGAGGTATTTGGAGTGGTTTATAAGGCACGAGGTAAAAAACAAGGAGAATGAGAATCGGGTTTCTGAGAGGCTAGGAGCTCTCAAAATAACACATAAGACTAGGTACAATGAAAGAAGAAAAACAAACAGACTGACAATACTGGAAATTAGTCAGAATAAATGACTTTTTAAATGTGAAAGTTTGTTGTTATAAAAGGCTTCACACACTATTTGAGATAACTGGGTCTCATAAAGATGCAGTAGGAAATAATGAATGTTGAAGTGGTATTACACACACCTCATGACAGTGAATCAGGTCACAATGCACAAAAAAAGATGAACAATGACTGTACCAATGGAAACCACCGTCTGCTGGTCCTAACACTGAAGAATGTCTGGATAAATATCACAAGCAAATAAAGCATATATGAAATAAATTAAGTCATTTATCTCATGGCATAAATGCAATTAAATGTATGTTGAAAGACCATTGTACAAAATGTGCTGGATATATAAAAAGAAAAGAGGTATAGCAAAAAAAAAGCACTGGAGCTTTCATTTTTAAATATACAGGACCGTGTGACTGATCAAGTGTTGTTCCATTTTATACAGAAGATTAATTTAAGTGTTAACTTGTTAAAAACTAACTTTTATTGTGTATGAACATTATCTACTTGCAAAACCGACATGGATGCATGGTGGTGGAGGTAGGTCTAGACAGGATATGAGATTTGAACACTTGCCACCAAAAATATTTGTCTCTATGCTATGTTAATTTAACACACCAGAAACTAGAAAGCAGACATGTGGGCATGGACCTTTAACCTCCAAGAACAAACCAAATTTTACTCTAAGTAACCATATGCCTAATTTATCACTTAGTCCTAACACTTATCATGCTTAAACTGTTCTTTCTCCTAATGTTAACACTTAACTCACTGCCTAAAATTAACCTTTCTCACCACAATTTAGCCCCTAATCTATTTCTGACAGTTAACAATTAACCTTTAATCACGCCATAAAGTGAGCATCCTAATACCTAGCCTAACTCTGAAATGTACCCCTTGTCAGACTGACATTGGTCCCTGTCTTGCAGAGAGATAAATGGTGATTGAATAGGCAGAAAGCCTGCACAGCCTCAATAGCTAGGAGGATGAATATAGTTTGTGTTTGGGTAGTGCTGACAAACCCCTTGGAAAGTAAACCTTTTGTCAAGGTACTTTTGTTGATGAATATTAGTGAGAAGGAGTAAATTGAAGAAATAATCGTTTTCTGAGCTAATGGAAAGCTCTCCTTTTGGAGCAAAATCTCACACCTAGTTGACTGCAATACTTCAATATCACCTAAAATATTAGACTGATACTTACATGAATGCTTCCGTCTGGCTAGGATTGGCATTTGTTTATACCAGCATGAAAATCTTGGTGCCCAAAGTCCCTTGTTTCCACACTGCACTCATATGCTTTTAGAGGGTTCCAATTACAATGTGTTGGGTCATCTTAAGTACTCCTGTGGCCTAAAAGGATGTGTGTAGGCCACCTATGCCAAGTACACTCAGTAAAGTGATGATCAGTGTAATTATACTTTATCTTCAAAGAAGTCATAGGGGTCTATTCACTAAGCTGCCGTGGGCAGCCGAGTGAAAGACCGATCTGAAGTGAAGTGAGCCCAACACTGTTCGGCTATTCACTTCAGGCTGGTACGGCTGATTTCAGCCGTACATCGGCTGAAATCAGCCATCTGGCTGCAAACTCATTTGTTTCATTTAAGAAAGGGAGAAGCCGTAGGGATATTTTGATGGCTGCAGGAAAGATAAACAAGATGCTCTGGTTAAGCAATCTAACATTGAAAGTACATACATTTGAGGCCATTGTGAGTCTGCAGATTAGGGGTAATATTTATAATATTCCTGATTATGTGTAGAGCATAATATGTGGTGTTCTGTTTATTTTGCCCATGCCTTTGGGTCCCTACAGACATGAGAGTGTGGTCATCCATGAAGAACAATCCAACAGCCCTCTGGCACCTCTAATGTCAAACCACTCCATTAATAGGGTGATTCAGCTCAGGGGCTCCTTTTATCAAAGGGGGGGAACAATACCAAAGTGGACAGGTTTTCTATCCTACCAAATTCATTATTTCCCTGATTATGGTAAGTGGACAAGGTTGGGGATCCCATAAACATTGTTGTTTAGCTGTAGACAGATTGAGTGACTCGTATCCTGTGTATGGTTAGCTTTAGATATTTTATAGGAAAACATTTAAAAGGCATACAATACAGCTGTGAATTGAAGACAAGATCTAGAAACGTCTTCCCCCTATCCCCTCATAAGTAGATGTAATGCTCAGACCACGGATGTAATGCACCCCTGTTCTTCCTTTCAGCATTATAGCCATGGGGCCATGTCTGTGCACTTCAACAGAGGCACATATCTCTGGGCTGTAAACATTGCCCAGTGCAATAGGGGGATGATCAGCAGAGAGTGGGTCCATGCTAAATCCACAATTTGAGGGGAATAGCGGGAAGCCATTGGCAGATTTTATATTATATTTATATCTTTATTTCAAACTATAAAGTCCACAAGAGCAACACCCACTTACACCTACTGGGCCTTGGTCATAGCTAAGGCCCAGTAGGGCTGGAACATGTAAGTGGGTCTTGCTCTTATGGAGGTATCTCCATTCCTAAGTTTAAACTGTGGAACTGTTTTGATTCTGTCTCACTTAAAATGCATGATTGACAGAAAACAGCCATCTGCTTTGGAGAATGTTGTATACTGTATTAAGTGGAGTAGTACTAAAGTAACGCTATAACTGCTGTCAGTGCGGAATCATATGACTCTTTAGATGTTTAAAGTTAAACAGAAGCCAATGCTTTTTTTCAGTTTTGCATACAATAAGAGAGAATTATAACCCTTGTCAGATTTGTTTTCCCATTGTGGAGATTTCCCTTAACCTTCTGTCTGATAGCCACAACAGGAAGTGAGAGGAAATTCCTCTAAAGAGAGAAAAATCCCTGGTGGGCAGCAGGTTCACCGGAACTAGTTTTTCTATTGGAAGATTTCCCATGTATTCCTGTTCTGGTGACAACCCATAATTTGGGACTTTCTTTCACTCTCACTTTCATTGATAATGGTCACCAGGACAAATAGAGATGTCTGGGACACAGACAGCAATAAAAAACTGACAGGTCTTCTAATCCCTCTCTACTCTAGGTAAAATGAAAGAAAATTTTGGCTTCAATTGCACTTTAAATATGTGTATGTGGTTGGAAAGATGAGATTAAAGCATATGGATGTGACAAAGAATTAATCAGACTGTGTAGAAGAGTGTGTGCATTAATGGAGTTGCAAAGTCCCAGCATACACTATCCTGTTATAACATCAGCATTGTATTACGAATATATACTATTGTAGATTTTGATAATGCAATCAAAGCTTACTGTGATATCTGCCCATCACTTTTAACACCTTCCCGGATTCCAGTGTCCTTTCCCTGCTGCTTGATGTGATGCCAGCTCAATTTCTCAAGACTACATATCCCATCATACAATGCTTCTAGCAAGAAATGGTAATTTTATAATTCATATAGTTCAATTCACAGCAGAATAGAACATGAAAATTGCAATGCAATGTGATTGAAAAAAAAAGGAAGAATAAATACAAGTTTATCAAGTTGATCAAAATCAAAATTCAGTAAATGTATTTCAATTCTTTTATAAGCTTCACATATGCATGTCAGCTGCAAACACAATTGCCTGTATATACTACCCATTGAGATAATGAATGTCCTTCCCACAGGTGGGCTTGCGATGTTTGTAAAGTGTATGGCCACCTTAAAGCTGTGTTTTACTGCTCCTTTTCACAATGCAAACCTATTGCTAACCACATGAACCAAATGAAGCAATTTTCAGGCAATCAACCATTTAACTAGCTTTCAGTTGGGAAAAATACAGCTGAACAGGTCACAACAATACTACTAGAAACACTTTGAAATCAAGAAATCATTCAGAGTGACACTAAACTCAGGAGTTAAATCTTAAAAATGCATTGAAGTACCTTAACTATTAACAAAAATGTCTCTTATTTATGTATCACTTGGCTGTAGATCCTCAAATTATCTCTGAATTCATGCTGACACTGTCCTTCCTTCTGGAGGGTGGCTACTTTTGTTCTCCATGGCCCCTGTGTGTGTTGTAAAGTAGCCACTGCTCCAAGCTTGCTCCCATAATGAACTATAATGTCATGTTTAGTTTACTAATTTGCATTGAGTTTGTAGTCCATCACAGGAGCGAGCTTGGAGTGGTGGCTACTTCACAACAAACACAGGGACCATGGGGAACAAAAG